AACCTCTGTGCAGTGTTGCACAAACCGAAAGGCATTCTTAAAAGCTCGAACTAGCCGAAGGGAGTGATGAAGGCATTTTGAGTATGTCTTTTTCCTCGACATGTCCCTGATGGTAATTTTATATATATATATATATATATATATATATATATATATATATATATATAGACGAATAGACAAAAGCCATCAGAAACCGTGGGACTCAAAAGAAGGCACAGAAATAGTAACAGTAAATACAACATAACACATAAACGTCCACGCTTTCGTCAGAGGGCGAGTTACTACCCGGGACACCACCCCGAACCTTTGGCTGATTAGTCTGCCCGAAAGTAAGCGGAGCAAATTCAGGGAATCGTGCCCATTGGGAGCCGGTGACTGATTACTCAGTTCATACGCCTTTGTAGCAGTCTGGAGATTCCCCGGCTTGCCTGTGTAAAATTCTAACTAAAATTAGTTCATTATACACCTAGGCAACCGGTGTGGTTTTTTGAACTGATTGCTGAGCTCGAATGCTTGACTTGCTCATCGCCATTTTTGCTTGGCGCTCGTTTCGGTTGCAACTCGCGACTGCCCTGATCTTCATCACCTCGACGCTCTCTTTCAACGCTTAACACAGCGTGGGGTTACCATCAACCCCGATAAATGCGAGCTTGGCCAAAGTTCCATCAACTTTCTTGGCCACCGCCTATCCGCCTCTGGTATCGAAGCTCTGCCAGACAGGATCCAGGCACTGAAGGACTTTCTTGCTCCCAATTCCTTCAAACAGTTACGCCCATTCCTTGGCCTGGTCAACTATTATAGACACTTTATTCGTAACTGTGCGAGCATTGTTCAACCAATGACTGACTTGCTCCGCGGTAAACAACGGTCTTTTCATTTTGCAGACGACGCTAGACTGTCATTTGAGAAGCTGAAAGACGCTATCTCCAACATAGCGCTTGTCGCCCATCCATACACATCCGCACCACTCTCCGTGACAACTGACGCATCTGACACTGTCGTCGGTGCAGCTCTTCAACAATTCATCGACCATCGATGGATACCTCTAAGTTTCTTCTCGAAACGTTTACAACCTGCCGGATCGCGTTACAGCACCTTCGGTAGGGAACTGTTAGATATCTACCTAGGTATCAGACATTGCAGGACTAGTTAATGCTAGTCCGAGACGGTGCGCGAAGTAAGCGCGGATATCAGAAGGCAATCGGAGTCAGACACAGCGGACTGTTTTCGATGGGGTACAATAAGAAGCGGACGGATGAAGCGAGAAGAGAGCGAACACGTGAGCGCAAGAATTTACAAGGCTGCCGAGTGACGAGCCGGTTGTAAGGAAGATTAAAACAAGGAGGAGTAATGTACAATCGGTCAACAATTAAATTGTACATGAAAGATAGCAGTTATCTCACGCATTTACTGAACTATAACAACTCACTATACTAGTTTGTGTGTGCACATCCCATTCCCACATCAAACTATTGTTGTGCAGTAGTGCATTTAAATCGGTAGTGGCTTAAACTAACGATTTACTTATTCGATGATCCTTTTAATTTTTACTCCAACCATCCTACGGGACTTGTCAAGCACATGCTTTCTTACCCGTGATAAATCATTGTTCATCATTGTTCTGATCTCACATGCTCGAACTGCTGTGCCGTCCTTGCTTCACTCAAGCAGATGTGCACACATTGTTCCAAAGACAGGTTCCTTTGTCTCCGAAGGCGTCGGATGACAATGCGATCACGTATCAAGGACTCTCTCATGCAGTTGCAGAAGCTGCAGTTACACGCCAACACTCTCATTGCTGTGATGTAAGTCTCCCTTTGGGATCGATTGCGACCAAAAAACAAATACCTCTGGTTGGTTTCATTTACCTGCACTTCGCAAAACGCCCCGAAGCTTCTCAGCTCTTCTGAAAACACTACTTCCTCACCTGGCTCGCTCTGCTCCTGTGTCTCGAGCACCCTCGTGGCTTCATAACCCACAGCGTGCCTGAACATCGCCTGCTGGTACGCCATCCGTTGAGTTTCCAACTGGGTCAGCGCAACAAAATCCATCCACTTCGCGTTATACGTTCTCGTTCTCTGGCAGCGTGCTTTCAGCCATCTGCACGGCGGCCGGCAGTGGGCTAGATGGCTGTCCACAGAAAACGAGTGGGTTCCGGCGCATCGACCTCTCCTCTGACAACTGTCGTGTAGCCCTCCGGGATCAATAATACTAGGCTGCGATCACATTGTCGTTTATTACGTTTGCGTTCGCATATTTATAGTATATACACTATTTGCAACAGATCCTTCACTGGCTCATCCTTGGTATTTGCATTCCATCGCTGGCTCCCTTTACATTGGTTTACGCTTGCCCGCCACGTTCATTCTGTCTAAAATTACCTTGACTTCCTTCGTGGATTGTACAACTGGCTCGATTGGGCACTCGTCCATCAGGCTGCATCTTCTTCACTCGGTCCAACACCACAAACCTTGGCTCAAGTGCGCACCAATAAGCTCCTCAGGAGTATGCACTTCTCCTGTGCTTTTGGAACCTACTGGCGCCTGATTGGTCACTTGCACATTCAGTGCGTGATTGCTGGCTGTGCTTGCAGAGCTCGACGCTGATGTGCATCAACCGTTTGCCGCTTGGCTGACCAATCTGCTTCCGACGACAAGCTCAAGCTCTATCGGGCTGGACTTCACCTGTCTGGCACTGCGCGAGATCCCCGGTGGCGTTCCATTGGCCATCTGCTTATCCGCACCACAGCATTTCCAGCCCCATCACAGGAGACAACTGAGCCCAAGGTGAATTGTGCAAGCTACAAAAGTAGGACGCGAATCAACAAGAGAGAGAATCGGTGTAACACGGTAATCACCAATGCGGTTTGTGTCAACGGAAGTGCCGTCTGTAAAACAAGTGGACGTTTTGAATGCTAAAACAATGATAAAATCCAATGTTGCAAAATACTGAAAGTGTATTTTCAGGTGCACTATAATCCAAAGGATGAAAATGATCCTTTGGGTCAGTACGAAATTCTACATCCTGGGAAAGTTATGGATACACCCATCGGGTTACAGAGAGGCGCGCTTCTCCGTAAAGTAGCACGATCGACGGGAGTGAATGTACACTGCGGCTATCATGTTTGTGCTATCAAGCTTGCGTTATTACGGGTGCAGGCTTGAGGAAAGAAGGCACATAGAAGCCTTACTAACGGAATCAAAAGTGCCATAGAGGGATACCTCAAGGTGCGTTTTAAGTTGGTTTTGGGTTACATGTCCCGGAGCACAGCGTAGACAGCCAGAAGTGCGGTGGACAATTCATGAATGATAAACTGTGGTGGTTGTAAATACAAGCAGAATCAGTGGGTGTCATGGAGGCCGATGTCAAATGCGGTGCAGTGGATGGACGACACTAATCTAGTAGTGACTTAGTCAGATTAGTAACGATTCAGGTGGACTGTTGCTTTCAAGCCTAGACCGTCAATATGATATCCAAATCAAACAGAAGCACAACGATTGATGACCACTGATTCTTACTGTCTTCTCTTAGTGTTTTAAGGAAGCTTGTATATCTCTATCACTTCTGCTTCATTGCAATTAAACACTATCAATGTTGTTGAGCACAGTAGAGCTCAATGACCTTAAAAACGATATATATCTGTAAGTTTGTCTCAAGAGATGTTTAAGAACGGGTAGCTCACCGCTTATCTGGCGGTTTGTTAGAAGTTGTTCTGCAGTCCAGCGAAAAGTGCTGATATATCTAGTTACACTACACGTTGCGCATTCCTTCTAAAGTATTTTCATTGGTGTATTCATGCTCTTAGTATTGCGATAGTTTGGTTTTGTGAAAATATGTAGCAAGAAGCCTAAAAATGCTAAGTGGTATAATTTTCTCACTATGAGCAGTGAGATACCAGTTCCACGCCATTAGGCTGTGTAGCAGTTTTGAACATAACTTATCTCCTAACTGCAGACAGAGTTAATGCTCATCTGTTTAAAGAGAACATAACACCAATTTCTTTGCGATATATCCAGTTCGGTAACTGCTGTGAATCACCATTGGCCATCTGCTTATCCGCACCACAGCATTTCCAGCCCCATCACAGGAGACAACTGAACCCAAGGTGAATTGTGCAGGCTACAAAAGTAGGACGCGAATCAACAAGAGAGAGAATCGGTGTAGCACGGTAATCACCAATGCAGTTTGTGTCAACGGAAGTGCTGTCTGTCGGTCAGTGGCCGAGTGGTCTGCACGTTTGCTTTGCAACCATAAGGTCACCGGTTCGAATCCGCGTAGGGGTGGGCGTCCTCGTGGTATACTCAGCCCGCGCGCTACTGGTGGTGGTCGCGCGACAGCAAAGCGCCGTTACGACGTACAGCTGACACATTATTATTATTATTATTTATTATGTATTACTATGGGTATTATCCTACATGAGGGAGACGCACAGCTGTGGTACTAGCCATCGTATCAGATTATGGCAAAATCATAACCGGGTTCAAATCTACTCCACACACTGGCAAGGTGGTGGAAACTAATCGGACTGTTCATTCCATCGGTCAACGTACCACACGATAACTCATCAGGGGTCATATATAAAAAAACTTTCTATGGAAAGCCGAGTGGACGTGTTGGTTTGCGTAGCGCAAAGGCCACCGCATCAAAATGTTGATGGATAAGAAAAGTGTTAAAACCTGCAACGCACCAACTCGCCCATCTATCGGCGTTTTGGAAACTCAGTGTTTTCCCACCAACTTGCAGCTGTTTTATGGCATTAGACAGCACCTTGGGGTAGATGATCGTTCTATCGGTATACGTGCTTTTTAAATGTATGCGCCAAAATTGTTAAGGACATGTTTAGTTCCTGTTTGATACCACCTATGTGAAACCCCTCGTAAGCCGTTTTCTGCCGCTCTGGTTCTGATATTTTCGCATTAGTAAAGTAAGGAATAATTAAACTTACATCCACTTCTTGTACACATCAATTTCTACACTAGCGCCTATCACCTCGATTTGTGTCTACTGATCTTGGACCTACGAAACCCACCTGAAAAACCATATCTCAGCCTTACCGATCATTCTGTCATGGGGAAAAAACAGCGTCAGCTACGACTGTGCGTTATTCTTCTCACTTATGAACAACTTGACGTGACTTATGGAAGGGACTCAACCGTGGAGGATATATTTCACGAAGTGTGCAATATTGTACAGCTAGATGAACGTGAGCTTTTTGGTCTGGCGGTTCGCTCAGGTGAGTATTGCTTGTTTTATAAGTAATTTTTTCAGCGGAGACATATCTGTTTTTAGACCCTAGTGAGAAAGCGTCGGACATCGATTTCGATTACCTTAGTTTGTCCGGACGAAGATACTTTTCTGTGAGTTCCCCTTTTTTTGTTTTTCATCATTACTGTGTTCGTATGGATAAGAAAACAAACAAGTTGACACTTCAGTTTCGTTCAAAAAATGAATTACGGTAAAATCTTGCTCCAAAACATTGAAGCTGTAGGAATAGTGAATACTAATCCGAGACGATATGCGTAATCGAACGCAGACATCAGAAGGAAAATGAAGTCGGACACAGGGGTCTATGTTCGATGGGTTGCAAAAAGGACATGGACGGATGAAGCGAGACCGAAGCAAACGTTAGCGTGGTTACTTATGGAACAGTCAAGTGTCGAGCTGGAGGTTAAAACAAGAAAGATTATTGTGTACTCGGTCATCAAAGAACTTGTGCATGAAAGATAGTATTTTCCTTTGGGGACGCTACAAAGCTAAATTCACTTGGGAAATAATATTATCAGATGATATCCGCAACACTAATTCGAGTGAATTGCACACCATAAATTCCAATGTAGTTGCGAAGTACATTTGCCATGATAATTTTTGCATCCTGTCACCACCTGAGTGTACAATCGTCAATCACGCTTTCATGCCAATATTTTGGTTAGGATTTGAATTCGATGCTACTCTGAGGTGGGACTTCGGTCGGCCTACCGTCGTTGTCTTACTGAACGTACTTGCTGCGGTTGACTGATTCACCACATTGGGCCGTTCGGTGCCTTACTGAGTTGGAAGTGCTTGAGAACTTTTCAACACTCTCCAAGCATTATCTTCTTCGTTATCGGACCGCTCGCGCGTATATGACGATCATTTACAATCCTTAGTATCACCTGTAGTATGGGATAGGGTTATCTTCCATTACCTCTCTTGTTTGTTATGGATGACATCTTGGAAAATTGTGGGCCTAGTAGCGTCGAATTGGTCCCGGGTGGTCCATTTCGCCACCTTTAGTATGTTGACGTCGTCACTGTTAGCTAACTTTTTACCAAGAAAATGCTACACAGTTTGGTATTTCCTTTCCTTCAGTTCAGAATGACCTTGCCTCTTGGAGTTGATATATTGGTCACAAGCTACTCTTACTATAGCCGTATACGGCTCACCTTGGAAGTAATTGTTTGTTGGTCTCGGGAGCATCATTAGCGTGGGCGAAGTAATGGATGAGATACTTTGCGATTATCCAAGGCCAGAATAGCCTCCGCCAACTTCCGACATATATGACACCTGTGTGACTTCATCCTCCCGCTGAAAGATTGCGTCGCCTTGAAGGCTTTGGCGAACAGCACTAACAGCCATTCCAAACTGGCGGAGGAAGTCGATACCAAAAACTGCGAAGCCTACAGATGCGACCGTGAAAACGCACTGAAAATCTCGGGGGAGATTGAAGCGTAATTCATCACGCGCTGACCGTACGAAGCTATCGGAGAAACGTTGGCCACAAGCGGGTTGTAGGTGGGCTTTAAGTGTTTGTCATTTGCGTTTGCAGGAATGACGCTCCGTTCCTCCCCGTGTCGATGAGGGTGATGTGAGAACCTCCATCCTTAACGTGAAACAATTGATCTATTTTGTTATTTATGGATGCTTTGGTCGTGCTAGTACGTAAGCTATTCGATTTCCATGAGGCGGCAGAGTTGTGTCCAATGCTGGGAGTCTCCCAACACCTAGCTTTATCGCCATATTGACGTTGCAATTAACACAGTTCTTCCACGAGTTTGGTACTAGGGGACTGGGAACGTTTAGAGGAAATGTTGCGCTTTTGTGTGGAACGAGACGTACTTGGTGTATGTATAAACGAGCTGCAATGAACAGTAACCGAAGCGTGGTCATCGTCTGACGGTGGCGTACCCAGCTTCGAACCTTACATGGCTATTAGCTTACTTTGAAGAGACGCGGTTTCCTCATTTTGAGGGTCAGCTCGGTTTGACGACTCGGAGAATATGACATTCATTTTTCAAGTCTGTGAGTACGTTACAGCTAATACCGGTTGTCTGATGCGGAAGAAATTCGAACGCAGCGTCTGTAGTTTTGGCCAGTTTTTTTAAGGACTTGTTTAGAAACATGGACAGCAGTACCGGTATTGACTCTACGAGACGTGCAAACCATATCTCCCTTTTCCCTTCTTTGTTTAACGCACTGAATTTCGCGGAGCAATGTTGACGTCTTGCGATTAACAAGCTTGTGACCATTGAGCTGTTCCAATCTAATCCTGCGCTGGATTGTGGCCCCTTTGAAATTGCCTACTTCGTCGCTTCGAGCTTTGCTTCTTTCCGTGCGTAAAGTAGAATATACTCTACAAATGTCACTACCGATGAAAGAAGTCTTTAGCAAGTAGTCTGTAGCGGGAGCCCGGATAGTGAATCCTAAAGACAGATCAGGTTGCAGGAAAACTTTTATTGGTACAGCAGGAATGTTCCCTGTTGCCTAGGTATAAAAAACGACACTGTTGACGCTCTAGCTAGGAGAAGGTAGAAAGCATAGCACACAAGGCCGTCACGCGTTGCAACCGGAACGAGCGCCGAACAAAATGGCGATGCTCAACTCAAACAATGGAACTCAGCGACCAGCACAACATTCCGCACCGGTCGCCTAAGTGTACAAAGAAATAATTTTGGTTAGAATTTTATGCAGGCAAACCGGGAATCTCCAGACTGCTACATAACCCTCCCCCAGAAGCGACTGCGTTAGCAGTCCTTCGACCTACGTGAGGAGTGTCCGTCGCGGAGCAGCCTTCTGCAAGACCAGGTTGTGGAACCTGATGCAGCTGCTGGGGAGAGAATCATGCAGTCGGGCCCTAGTGGGCTCCCACCCGTGTCCTCAATATGGTGTCGAAACGGAAAAATGTTTGCGGGGGGTCAGTTAGTAAAGTTCACCTAGCTGGTTAAGCAGCAAGTTCGTTGCGCTTCGAGTTGAGGTGCGACGATCCAGCGAAAAGCGAAACAAAGGAGCAATCAACCGACAGTGTGTATATGGAAAGCAAAAGAGAAAAATGCAACGTAAATGCATAACAATGCACAAAAGCGTGCAATGCGAAAAACTTGCGAAGCTGTTTGCGGGTTTTCAACAGCTTTTGCACTTTTTGATGGTTTCAAACCTTTTTGGTCATTTTTTGTAGGTTCTGGAAAACGTTTGGTAAGAGCAAGAAACTATGAGAGGCACGTCCTATGTAAAATAGCAAACGCTAACAAAGTCTGAAAAACGCACCTGAGCTTTGACTTCCCTACCACGTCTCGATTGTAGGGTTGAGGTCGGTTGAGGCCGTAGGTTGCGCTGGAGCAGATTGACGAGTCTGAGATTGCGGTGCTGGCTGTGATGGTGCAGGCTGATGAGATGCATGTTGCACGCGAGAGTTAGAAGTATTGCAAACAGGCTTGTCTATATCGGGATCAGCTTGTTGAGCGGTAGCCATGACGGCTAGGTCAATGTTGGACAAAGGAGCTAAGATGATCCGCTGGATTCTTGACAGAGCATCCGCGACGGAATTGAGAGCACCTGAAACATGTGGTACGTCTGTCACAAACTGAGAAACTTAGTCTAGGTGTCTTGTTTCCCGCGGAGAATACTTAGCAGTCGCGCCATTAGTTGCGTAGATCAACGGCTTGTGGTTAGTGATGGCAGTGAAGTGTTGACCATCGCAATAAGGCTGGACTTTACCGTGATGCGATGGTTTGTGTGCCTCAGTGATCCATTGAGCTATGTTGGGTGGTGCTTTTTCTCACCTTCAGAGCCACTCATACCAGATTGGTCAATGGTTCGAGGCCAGACAATCTCAGCCTCCTGGTCCTCCAGATTGGGGGTTGGAATGAGGATGGCTCCTTATTCCTTAAAACGGACTCCTCGTAGCCCAACGTCAAACCCGCTGCCTTGCGCTCAGGTTTTTGAACCAAAGGCTTTGGTTGAGAACCCTAATCGTTCTCCTGTCTAGGCCTGGGCAACCTGACAGTATCCTGCCCACGCAATACAATGAATTTCTCTTCAAACAAATTTCTGATGCTCTGGCCACCGCAGAGGATAATCAACGGTGCTCTATCTGTTGCATCGAGCAGGGTGGATAGGGGTTTGGATGCTACTGCTCAAGCCTTCCCGTCTTCGTATTCCCCCGCTTACGCTTTTTCTTCCATATGGTTCCTTTCCAACCTCACATTGATCCTCCTGTTTTCAACATCCCGATTCTTGGCCCTCTCCCAACCTGCTTTGATAGGCGTTTATCTTCTAATTTCAACACATGTGAACGCGGAGCGTCATTCCTGTCCTGTCGACAAGCCCATGTCCAACCAAGCCGTCCACCCTAGTTCATCGGCTTCCATTTGGAGCCCTCGATCCTCCTTCAGTTTGGCATGCCTAGGTCAATAGGCAGCACTTACCCGAACATTAGAGACCATGTTGATCGATATCTGCTGCTTAGCAGAGACTCACCTGCAAAACGAGCTCTGTGCTCACTTTGCGATCCCCTTCAGATGACACCAGCAGCACTTTCTCACTGCGCCTATCCGGTGACGATGCAGCTTCGAGAACCAGCCAAACTGGTGTTGACATTACCCTGAGTCCCCTGACTGAAGCTGCTCTGGTTGATTGGATCCCAGTCAGTAGCCGGATGTGTGCGGTCCGATTTGCTGGCTCGTTCAAAGCTTCGAAGTCGCGCGGAACTACTAGGTGTCTATTCATCATCGCTGCCTATGCACCGACAAACTGTAGCGATGCTTCGGTCAAAGATGACTTCTATCGCCAATTGAACGAGCCTCTTCGCCACTGAAGAAGCACCGGACACGGTTGTGCTGGTTGGGGATCTGAACGCACAAGTTGGAAAGTTGTCCACTGATGAACTGCATCTGGGCGGTCAGCACGGTATAGGCAGATACAGGCAGCAATATAAGGGATCTACCGCTACTCTTTCGATTGTATCTCAGTCACTGAGGCTGCCACTTCAAATCAACCAACCGGCCACCCACCACTAGTGCCACACCAAGAAGTGCTCTGACCAGATCGATAGCCTGTGCTTCGTTCCGAAGCCTGTCTGGATTCACCTGCAACCGCTTGTGAC